CCTGTAAACAAAGTAAAAGACCAAAGTAAAAAACAACTGTGAGATCTAGACACTTTTCAAACTTGGTCTTTTTTTTTTTATTCATATCAATTTACAATAGTGCTATACTCCGGCTGTGATCCCTTCTGGGAACTCTGCAAAATAAAGGGATTTATTTTTAATTCCCACCATTCAGATACAATCAAAAACCTCAATGTTCACCTGTAACTAATATTCAGAACCCTCCCCACTTATTTCTAAAGGTTTGCAATAAAACTTTATGAGACAATAATCTTTTATTGCAGCATCATAATCTCCCTCTGAAAATGACTTTAATTAAGAGACATATATTTGGGCGATGTAATCTTACATTAAAATGTGTCCCGTTTGATAAAATTCTTTTCACTTCAATTTAGTGTAATATTTTGTCTTAATTGTAAGGCAAATTGCATCTCCATTAACTTTACAGAAAAAACAGATTCCCTTTGTTCAGTTGAAGTTATTTTACAATCCAGTCAAGTTCAGTTTATTATGCCAGCTGATAAAAGGTTTTCTGCTCAAGCAAATCTGTCTGATTTATTCAAGCCATGGACTCTGTAGCAACTAAGCAAATAAACCAAGCAACTCTCATACTCAGCAAGCATGTGGGGAGTGTGGAAAGGAAAGACTCCATTTTAACAGGAAGGAACCTCCAGCTCAACATAATATGTCTTATCTAATATTTGAGGGGATCATCTGCTGCCACTGAATGAAAAACATACACAGTTAAAGGCATCAATTGCACAGCTAAATAAATAAGCTCTGAGCCAGAGGTACGATCCATAGCCCAGGATACTAAAGTGATTTATTTACAATTCTTGTAACAAAACAGGTTTAACTAAAACTTTTTTTCAAACTTTAAGTTGTGTGTGTCTAAACAACTTTAAATAGGGAAACCATTTGTTTTCCGGTTCCCTTTTGTAAGTGATGGAACACAGAGGCAGTTTTTATTCACCAATATTCAAAATGGAGAAGACAGGAGAAGAGGTAATGCAGAAACAGTATGTGTTAAACTTTATAAAGCAATAAATGGCTAATGTATTAAACAAGATAACTAGCAGTTAAAAAAGAGGCCCGTACTATGAAGTGAGGTCAACCTAGCAGGATTACTTCCAGTCTGTCCAAATTAATTAATCCACAACAACGGCAATCAGGATCCGTGGTACCACAAAGCTGGTTATCAACTTACTTACTCAACCCAGGTTTAACTGATCATGAATCTGCAAACGTATGAGTCAGCGTGTTCATGGTTACAAAACAATCACAACCATGAGCACTGGAGGGAGAATGCCATATTTCCCCTGTGAGAAATATAAACTCACAGAAATACAAAGAAAAAAAAAAAAGACTCAGAGAAAAGTCAAACATGTTGGCCGTATCAGAGAGACACTAAATGATGTGGTTAAGGATTGCTGACTGCGTAAATAAGTAAGTAACACATCAGTGACTGTGACGGGGTTCTATTATGACTTGGTCAAACACATAAATGACTGGCCAATGCCGGAGATAAGTTTAGTGATTGTTTTTTTATTCAGTGATCTTTTCTTCTGGTGAACAAAGACGGTTGGTGCAAAAATATTTACATGGACATCCAAGGCAGGTTAAAATCAGAAAAAGAGCAGTACCTTCAAAAAATCAGAATCCATCACCTTCAGTGTGACATCTCAGGAGTCCAGCCACAGACTGACTCCCTGTCTTCTTCTTCTTCTTATGGGATTTTATGGCGGTTGGCAGACTTGTGAATTGTGCATTACCGCCACCAACTGATATGGAGTAAAGCAAGATAACAGGAAACGATTCACCCCCCCCCCAAAAAAAAAAAAAAAAAAAAAAAAAAAAAAAAAAAAAAAAAAAAAAAACCTGTGTAACTTAAACCAACATAATACTAAATCACATTTGCCCATATAATTTTAATTTACTCTAGGTCATCTTAACTCTGCCAGTTTCTGATGGTCCCATCGGTCCTCCCATCATACTTCCAACCATCTCCCAGTTCAAATCTTTAATGTCCAGATATTTTTCTGCAGCCTTCACTATTATTTTGATTTTTTCCGTTTTTTTTGTTGTCTGTGCAGTACAATTAATTACTTCTACCATGAAAAGAACAAAATTTGTCTTTTTAACAATAAGTGAGTCTTCATTAATTTTTGGAGATTTCTCTAGAGGTTTGGAATTTGCTGTGTGTTGAACTGTAGGTTTGGGTTTTTCTGACTGAGATGGGATCCTTTTTGCAGCTTCAGCGTAGGTTATTCCGAGCTCAAATTTCATTTTTTTAATTTCCTCAGACCTTTTGCTTGCTTCACAGCCGCGATAGGCAGCAGTATGTTCTCCACCACAATTACAGCATTTTATTTTAGCTTCTTTTCCACATTTTCCGTACTCATGTTCTCCTGCACACCTTCCACACCTCTGTTTCCCTTTACAAACTGCTGCAACGTGACCGAATTTTTGGCATTTGAAACATCTCAATGGTGGAGGATTGTAGATTTTGACATTATAGCTTATGTAACCGATGAATACTTTGCTTGGTAATTGCTCTTCTTCGAATTTAATTAGCACAGATAAACTGTCAGATCTTTCTCCGTTTCTTGTTGTTTTTAACCGTTTTACTTCTTTTACTTTTGCACCGCTTATGTTTTCCAGAATCTCTTTTTCAGAAATTTTTAGAGGAACTCCTCCAATGACTCCCCTGCTGATCTTTTTGTTCTCCATTAGGCTGCACTGAACTCTTATCCCGTCAATTTTGTTGATACGTATTGCTTTGCCTTGCTGGGCGCTGTCTCTGCAGTTAATTAGCAGGTCTCCACTGTACAGAATTCTGGCACCTTTGACTTCTCCGACAAGTTTATTGATGGTTTTTGTTAAGTGAACCGGATTCCAATTTGTAAAAGAGTCTGCCTGATTAACGACTTTGAATATGACTTTGAATTCATTTTGTTGTGCTGTGGAATGTATGGAATGATCATCACTGGATTGTTCTGAACTAGATTCCCCTTGAACTGATCTCTGTTTTTTCCGCTTTTTCTCATTTTTTGATGTTGCTATTTTCCAACCTTCATTGTCACTATTTCCCTCTTCCATCCCACAAGAATCGCTTCCTGTTTCCTCACTACTCACGGCCCAAGACATTTCTCCATAAGCAGCTTCAAAACACGCGCCATGCACCAAACGACCATCCACCGAGCCTCAAACACTTCTTGTGTCAACGTGGCTTCCACTGACTCCCTGTGGAAAAGAGGCCTGCTTTTAAAGCTATAGGCTCCACCCACAGAAAAAAAAAAAATAAATAAAAATAAAATAAAAACTAAACAATTACTTCTAATTCACTAAGTAAACAAAAATAATGATTTTGATAATGATGACAATAATAATAACACCATGCTAAAGAGAGAGAAAAAATAAAAATAAACTTGTAATCAAAAATACAATACTCAATTTAATACAAAACACTCTGTACGTTCTGATGACATCACTACGTCATCACGTGACTCCCTCCCGGCGCGCTACAATCCGGAAATAAACCTGTTTGAAAATAGATGCAGAAAATATACTTGGCTGAAAATAAGCAGGTTAGAATAAATGTTAAATGAAAACCGGACCATCGCGTGTGCACCCACGATGAACGGCGCCAGCCCAACCTGCAACAAAAGTAAGTGATTGCGTACGTGTATGTATGCGTGTGTGTGTGTGTATGTTTGTGCGCATGCTGACACTGACTTATTCCTAAGTCCCAGCTGATGACGGCTCCTCCGTCACAGTGACATTTAGCAAAGACTGAATCCCAATCACCTTAGAGCATTTTAATCCTGTTCTCCTCAGAGAACAGAATAAAACACAAAAACTTAATTTCATCTGATTAGTAGATTACTTTTTAATTCAATAATGTTTAAAGCTGAAAGTTGATGCCACTCATTCTTGCATCATATTATTACATAAGTGGATAAGTCTAAGTGAAATCATCCTGATATCTGAGCTGTCAGAACTCAGAACATGGTAAAAATCTGCTGTGCTTTTAAAATGGAGAAAATCCTCAAACACAGCCCTGAATGTACAGAAATACCTTAATGTCTTTTCTACTTAAAGAAACTGCATTTCTGTTTTAGTTGCAGACTCTTTGCCCTACATGATCAATGTTCCATTACACAGAAACATTACAGCCTTCTTCTTTGTGTTTTTTTTTTCTTTTTTTAACCTGGCAGTTTACCATTAATCCCCCATCAGTGTAGCTTCAGTCTAACATTAATATATATATATATGTATATCTATCTCTATATCTATGTCTATCTGTCTGTCTGTCTGTCTGATAGATAGATAGATAGATAGACAGACAGACAGACAGACAGACAGACAGACAGACAGACAGACAATATCTTTTATCCAGTTCATGTCCTGTTTTTCTAAACTAACCAGTTTAGAAACATCCGCTTTTAGATTATCTTTTCCTGAGAAACTTTAAGTCATCCTTTGGGTAATCACCTTTTAAAACCTGCTATTTTGTTTTTTAGTTAGAGTATAATCTCTAACAACAGTGCTGTGCTTCTTAATTCAAATCAAGTCTGACCGCTGAGACCAATGAAGGTTTTATTAGGTTTAGAGTTGGACGGATGATAAAAAAACTGTTTTTCTTTTTAGGCGCTGTTATGACTGACAATATTTATGAGCTCCAATCGATAAGTAAATGATTTGAATTCAAATAACCTTTCCTGGAAGGGGAACCTGAAAATTGTTCTACCATTTTCACAAATTTATTTTTCTGTTTGTTATGTTTCAACTAATTTGAAAAGATTCCCTGTAGCTTGTTTTGCGCTGCAATTATGTGTACCCATAAATTGAACCTGAATTATTCAAAGAGTGACTCACTGGCCTGAAGCTCCTGTAACAATTAAAGTAATATAGATTGACATTATATAAATGCTGGAGGATTTTGATAAGATGCATTAGTTATTGTTTATGTCATCTGTTATTTTTCTAAATGAACACAGCTCCTGGTGTGGCCAGAACAATCTCCAGAGGAGGTTCGATTGGTAACCATCACTCCTGACTACCCAAGCTCACGCCACACAGGATTAGTCAGCGGCCTCAGGAAGTTTACCTGGTACTATGGCTCCACGCTGTGCTTTACCACACCTGGTGACGGTCCCCGCAGCGCACCCACCCTGCTGCAGACACATGAGGACAGTAAGTATCTGAAAAAAAATAGCAAGTTAGAGGTTTACATAATTAAAAATACATTAAAGCAATAATTTCATAATCAAAGGATGATGTTAAAGCATTACATGCGTCCGATAGCTTATATTCACACAACTTAAGGTAAATGAAGTTCGTTTGGATGCTGTTTAAGACAAGACCAAAGTATCAGGAAAATACAGTAATTATTAACCTCAACAGGTTTGCTTTAAATACAATTGAAGCACAAGAAATCAATACTCCAATAGCAACATAGTAGACAATTGAAATCTTTATATTTGAAGACTTAACCTGTAGATTTTGTTATGATGAAATTAAAGGTTCAGCCTTAATTATTTTTGCTCATTTTGAAACAACATGAGGATCTTGCAATCCTAAGAACACAATCCTAACTGTGAAGAGTAGAGGTTGATGATCATTGTTTGAGGATGTTTAGTTAGTTGAAATTGGTGCGATGTTGATTTAAGAGTGACTAATTTCTTTCCAGAAGTTTGATAGTTATACTTCTGGGAAATAGCATAGGATGTCTGTAGATGTTAGCATGAACCAGCCTTTAGTTCTGTAGAAGTGAACAATATTGAGTAGCACTCATAAAACTATGCAAATAAAGTTTTATTCTAATATTCTGAATTATATATATACATTTTGTTTACCTCTGCTGTTTAAGCTAGCAAAGATAATTTTTGTAATCATAACTGACTAAAAAAAGAAAGCCTTATTCTAATTTAATGTGACAGTGAGAATAAAAGTTTTTCTTTATACAGTTTTTTTATGTCTTATTTCAGCCATACTAAAGAATGAATGAAATAAAAACCTCAGAAACATTTCTGAACTGTCTGTGCATCAGAATGACAGTCTACCTGCCTTCTCAGCATTGAATCCAGCTGTTTTTATTTGTTTAGTAGCCAGCTGTGTCCACAATAGACAGCCAGCCACATTCAGCCAAGACTTTTTCAAATCTTTCAAGCTGTTATTTGCTTTTCATTCCTGTTTTTTTTGCCCTACTAAATTCTTTTGTTCTTAGTTTCACTGCTGCCTCTTCTTAGTCTGCTTTGTCTTTTTAAAGGGAATTGATTCATATGTTTTCATGCGTGCTGGTATTTATAGCCTACTGTTCCATGGATAAACATAATAGCTTCCACTCCCAGTTACAAGAGCACACGCACACAGTCCCACCATCATATAAACACAATAGCCTTTAGGCAGACAGACAAGCAATTATTAGCAACCAGCAATTATTGAGTGGGAAAAGGATATTAGAAGCCATGCCTATGCACTTACACACACGCACTCACACACACAGCGGTGGACGGGTATTGATTGGTTGCTGGGCGTGTTGCAGGGTTAAAGGTGGGTGTAATTCTGCTTGATGATAGCTTTTTGCATGTGAGCGCGCATGTGATTGTGATTGTGTGTGAGTGTTATTGAATGTCTCAGATGAATAGCTTAATCGCTCTGCAGGGAGAGAGGTTAGAGAGCCACGGATGAAATGAGAAATGACTGGATAACATACATGCATGGGTGTCAGGGGGTTCTGGTCAATGCAGATGTGATTCGGATGTGAATAGAGCCTAAAGCACCTCACAAAATTATCCATACCCCTTAAATATTTTCACATTTTACACCCACAAATTTTAATTTTGGGATTTATTATTCAGATTGAATGTGATAAACAACAACAAACACCCAGTGGTTTGAAAGAGGTGGGAGGAAGGAAACGAGAATGTATCTCTTAATTTTTTTTTTGGTGGTGTTTTTTTTATTCTTTATGAAATTTTATGTGACTGTCATCTATTGCATTCAGCTTCCATATTTCAACAATTTGTACAGAAGTCATGTTCAGCTTTCCTATTAACAGATTTCTTTTTGCCCAAGCTAGAAAGGTCTAACATTGTTTGTAATGTGGCAAAGAGAAAATGTTCAAGGAATAGGAATATTTTTACAAGGCAATTTATATACTGTGATTATACATACTACATTGAAAACATGTTAAAAATAATTAAAGTAAATCTATATATGATCTCTTATTAATATGGAGGCATATTGTGCAAACAATAACCAAGAGACAATGTTCAGGTTGTATAGAGGCACTACCAAAATTAAAGGACTGCAAAGCCATGTAAAGCAAGAATGGGAAAAAGAAGGGCATCTCACTTTATCTTCCACAAAATGGGATAATATTTGCAAGGTCCAATGGAAAACCAAACAATTAGAGTTCTGCTGGAAAAACCTTTTGAGACTCCAGTTAAAAAAAGGCAGACATCATACTAAATCCTTGAAATATTGGGATTAGAGGAATAAAATTATCGCCATTTATTCTAGTTAGGCCAATAACTAACCGCCCTTTGGATTGAAATTCACAAAATTCGGAAAATTGTGTTTCAATAGCTTTCTCGCTTGAAAGTCTCTTTGGTGTTTTAGAAGGGAAAACATTTAAAATCAAATCAAATATTTGTTTCAAATCTGAGTGCAGCTTCTGGCAAAGCTACTGTATGAAGAGAAAGTGGCTTATGCCAAGTAGACCTTCAACTGATGAGTGGATTGATGTTGTTTACGACTTCTATTAGATAGAGTGAATCACTTTTGCAATGAAATTACAGTATAACAATTGCAAAAGAAATGGAAACAGTTTTATCCATACATCAGATCTGTAAGACTGGACTTTATATAACAGTATATCTTATTCCATTGTAGAAATCTTTAATTAAGTGACTTTATATTTTTGTATTTGTATTTTTTAGGCACTCCTCAGGGTTTAAGTTAAGATGGTCTGTATACTTGTATTATAAACAAATATTTGCATTTACTAAAATGGTTTTCATTCATTTATTTTCCTGTTTTCAGCACCTGGAGCTGTCCGCCACCTCAGCTTCACTGAAATCCTGGATACCTCCCTTCGAGTCAGCTGGGCTGAGCCAGAGGACAAGAATGGCCTCATCACTGGTTAGCGCATTGCAGCTTGACAGGATATAATCACTTATCATGTCTTCCATCCGCCTTCATAGCCTCTCCATAATAAGAGAAGTTTCATTTTAGTGTATTATTTGCCACTCTATCATGAAGATTTGTTATGTTTGGGTTGTCTGTTCTCCAAGGAAACTAATACATGTAATAGGAAGGAAAAATATGATAAACTTTTCCAATTAATAGAATATTCTTAGGTGGTAAAAATTCATTACTGAAGAATAAAGGTCCCTCTTTAAAAGAAGACTTTAATTATAAGTTTCCTCCATATTCTTTGGCATGCAAAGACCCCCCTCTGTCACTGACATTATGTTTGTGTACAACTGATTCATCATCAGTTAATCCCTTCCCTCTGCAGTTTGTCTTCCAACATTATCGTGAACATGCCGTCATCGCACACATCTCTAGACCCAGGGTGTTGTTTGTGTGACACGCCGTCGAGCACAAGAGCCACCTCGTTTATTTTTCCTCCGTTCCCCGGTGGCTCCGTCAGATGATGATGCTGAGAAGCACAACAAGATGCTGGGAATTAATTAGCTGTGTTAAGTGCGCGTCTTTCTGCTGGTACACCACCATGTCCAACACTCACGTAAGCGGAGGTTTTACAGTCTGCTTGCACACTCAGACGAATGGGGAAATGAGCGTGCAACGAAGGTCACCTTGCACATTTACTCTTTTCTCCCTGACCTGCTTTTCATCCAGAACCTGGTGAGCCCAGCGATAGATGAGGGACCGTCTGCTCTCCTCAGGGCTTTCCACACAAGTGGCCTCATCACGTACACATTTGAGGGTGGTGGAGTGTGATGCATGACTGTGAAGATGCAAAGGGACAGACAGGAATTTTGACTCTACTTACTCCTCCCTCACTTCCTCCTCCCGTTTGGCTGTAATCCTCTTATTACCCAGCACCTTGCAAAAGTTTTACACCCAACTGAACTTTATCTAATTTTGTGATCTTGTGACCATAGATATATATATATACACATACATACATATATTTGGATTTCAATGTTACAGAATAATTTAAAGTAGGGGGTGATTATGAATTTATTATTTGGAAAGAATTGTTTTATTAAATTGAAACAATTGGATTGTTTTATGATTTTTATTTTAAGTACTCTGATATCAATCAAGTAAAGTAAAAATACTGATGTTGTATGGTTCTGATGTTTGTTTAAGAGCAATACTGAATAAAAAAAAAGAAGCATATTTTAAAAAAGCAAACAAATGTATAGGGATAGGTCATAAAACCACATCACAACAGCATGGACAGCATTATTTGTCATGATTGGGTTCAGAGAGGCCCAATATGCAGAACACAACGGAAACGGAGAGAAGGTTTAAATGAGTTTATTGAACACAAGCACATGGAATAAAGACTGGAAACTGGTTCGACCCTGGAGGGCAGGTTCACTGGAGTCTGTAGGGAGGATAGTTCAGTTAGCCAAGGTGCAGAAGAATGAGGAATGGTAATCTTCTGATTTCTACCTTGAGGAGTCCGGGTTAGACTTTGAGAGAGGAACTGTTGGGTCCAGAGACTGTTTGTGTCAGCAGAGTTCAGAATCAGCTTCAGCGTCTTGCATCTAACGTTAGGACAGACCTTGACTTGGTTTTCCAGCTCTAGTCCAGAGCAGCATGGGAATCCAGAGAAAAATCTTCAGGTTTGGCTCAGAGGGCAGGCTCGGCAGGTTAAGCTCATCCAGAGCTTACAAGGCAAAAACAGGTTTCCAAACTGGATAAACACTGCGGCGTTGAGGCAAGGTCTGAAGGCTGCTTATATACTGGAGGATCCTCCTGATGATGAGATGCGTCTCAGGTGTGTCGAAGGCTCAGCTCAGGAGGATCCACAGCGAACTCTGCTGGAGAAAGGTGGAACTTCTCCAGATCCCAACATTATTTACAGAAGCACTTGAGAGGCTTTTGGAAATGCAGAGGAGCAACAGGCACATAGATCCACAACTAAGGTGAAACAATCCATTTATAGAAAATCAACCCACATACTTCTGTATAGAAGCTAAAACAACCCCTGTTTGTAGTTTTCTACAAACTATGTAAGACAGTCGTTTTCATACCTGTTCTTCGGGACCTTAGGTCTCCAGCATGATGCCTAGCTATACAAAGCAAAGATGCTGATATTTGATCCAGGTGTGTTAAAGCTACAGTGTGTAACTTTTAGCGACATCTAGCGGTCAGACTGCAGACTGCAGCAACATGAACATTCCCCCCACCGCTTCTCCCCCCCAACAGTGCGAGCATTACGGGACAAAATGTCTTCCACGACGTCCTCATCACCTACCTTCTCAAGTGATGAGGTTTGTTTACATAGATAATTTTACAGATAGTATTCCATTAGTCTGTGTAGGGTATAGATTTCATGTAGACTTAAGATAATAAATATAACCGTTATTTTTTCTACATCGTTGTGACATTTTGGCGATCTCGCAATCACTAGTTTGTTGGCTCTGCCCTGCCGTAGTGCAAAGATGTCAGCCTCCATGGCTGCGAGACCCGCTCCTATGTAATTATAAATAACGAATTCTAAGGCAACGCAAATATTAAGGTTAAGAGGCTGAGCTTGTAGATGATGATAAAATAACATAGTTATGTATAATATATTAAATTTCTGACTGTATGTCCCTGTAATTATTACACACTGTAGCTTTAAGTTAGGCAGCAATCTAAAACCGGTTTAGATCAAAGCATATATTTAGATCCAAATATCAATGTGTAACAGGACTTGGGATTGATTTTATGATCCATAAAATCACCATAAGCATGGCCTTAACACTACAAATAATATTGCTGTAATATATCATTCTGATCTTATTTGAGAACCGGATAAGAGCAGAATATGTTTGATTATTGATCTTCTTTTGAGATTATTCTATTCCAAATAAGTGCAATGATCTGCCAGAGCAGTGAGAAATTGCTTTTGGTAAGATTTCTTGAAATCATGTTATATGTCCTCAAAACAAAACATCTTACCAACTGCAATAGTCTTAAGGGCTGGTTATACTCCCACAGCAGTGTGCCGCAGTGAACTTGTTGCAGACATTTTTGATTTATGCTCAATTTGAAGCATGGTCTGCACTATGTAATTCCACGGCACAATGCAAGCGGGACAATCAAGAACTAGCTTTGGGTCTAGATACCACCGAGGCGGAGAGGTAGTGGGGGCAAGTTTGTCCGACAATGGAGGGACATGAGGGCGAAAAAGAGCGGGGAACCAGGTGGAAAAAGGGTCTCAGTGTTCTCGCACGCCTCGCTCTTCTAGCTGGTCCATCTTCACAAGTCGTTTTCCACAATGGCAGTCATACACACAAAACAAGCCGGTAAGGTACCAACCAGGAAATACTTATTGCGTAGAGCGGATGCAGATTTGACCAATCAGAAGTCTCCTGTCTGCGACACTGTCTGCGGTCACCTGCAATTTAGGAGATGTGCAGCAAAGTATCTGCGGAGCGGGTGGGGATATTTCTGCGTTCACTGCGACACACACGCAGACGACCTGGTTTTGAAGTATAAATCAGCCGTTACAGATTATTGCATTTATTTTAAGTTCAATCTTGTTAAAAGAAGAATAATTATCTAACTAATTCTGCTTTTGCTTGGTATATTAATCTCTAAACAAGATCAAAAAGAGATTTTGTTTAGATCTAAGTTTTAAAGACTTGGTTAGATGGACACTTTTTGCAGTGTATGAGCTAATATTTATCCCAAAATACTTGCAACCAAATGTTTTTGAATATATATATGTCGCTCTATTCTGATTTCTATCTCTATGACCTAGTGATGTTGTGTGTTGGTGTGCTTGTATGTACCTGACTGCTCATGTCTTTATGCGCCTTCATTAACCCAGCATGCTTCTCCCTCCTCTTGTAGGTTACGTGCTGTGGTGGGAAGTGCCCAGTGTAAAGGCAAGCCGAGTGGAGCGCTCCTTATCCAATTCCACCCTGCAGTACCAGCTGACAGGCCTTACTTCCACCACTGCGTACATAATTCAGGTGGCAGCTCTGACCGGCGCAGGACAGGGCGTGGTCACGTCGTCCACCATCTCCACCGGCGTCCCACCAGGTGCAGTAAATAAACAAGAAATATACACAGATATGAAACAGGGGATGTTGGAAGCTGTTTTCTTGTTACGAGCGTGTGCAAAATAAATGTGAGTGATGAGCCCTGATGAAGCCCTTGTCATTCTTCAGGCTGATAAGTGGCTGTTTCTGTGACTCCATGAATCATCTCCCACATTGCAGACACATGCTTTCACATTCTCTCTCACAGACAAAAGTCTGCCATTTACTGCTACTCAGGGGAGCGCCTCAGTCGATGCTGTGTCTGTGTTTGTATACCATGTGCTGAAATCGCTTTTGTGTGCTTGACAAGTTCATATGATTGCCCAAGTTGCAGTCATCATTAGAGCTGATTAACTGCAGGGAAAGGATGCAGCAATTAACTTGGTAGGACACGAGGAAATTAGAAGAAGGCTAGAAAAAGAGCAAGGGGACACAGACAGAAAATACAAGTAAATGCAATTTTCTTAGAACAGAAGCCCAAAGTCTCTGACAAATGGACTGTGTGGCAGAGATGAAGAATGGATGGAGAAAAAAAAACAGAACTCATACAAGCAGGAATTTTGTCCCAACATTTTCTAATGACTAATTTATGAGTAAAAGCTGAAAAAGTGAAAGCAAGATGGATACAGACAGTTCTTAGATTCTGAGGTTATTGATTAATTCATGAAAGCAAAAGGAAAGAGGGACGAAAGATGGAAGATTAGGAAAAAGGACTAAAGAATGAACAAGGAGATGGAGAGGTTGGAGCAATCCACCAAACATAGATTCCACTCTGATTTATTATTCATGAAATCATGGAGTTGAGAGAATTTTGTCATATATCTAAGCCAGACAGCTGATATCAACATTTTCAGATTATAACCTTTACAAGTTCACAGCACGGATTTATAGAAGAGTGTTTACATTTGGCAGAATATTCTCTGGTGGTACACTCTAATGGTACTGAGATGACTGGAAGGTCAAATTTGTTTTGGGCCTTTTACAATCTATTTGAAGTGCTGACTTAAGTACTTTTTGAAACAACCGTTAGGTACAGAGAAAGTTGGAATTTAATGTGGATTTTTTTTATCCCCATAATTTTACACACAGAACCAAATAAAAACATAGACCCCCCAATAAGTGATTTAATGTGGCTTTGCATTTTAAAGAGAATACTGTATTTGGCCACTCGTTTTAGAAAAAACTAATAGAGGTTATTTCAAATGGGTAGGTACCCCAGACCAAACCCAGCTCTTTATCAGACTCCAAAAACTTACCTGTTTGTTTTAAAATTTGTCATGATTTGAGCTAAAATAATTTAGCTACTAGAATAGATTTCAGGTAAACACCGTTCAATGCTCTGCTGCCTCTGATGGTGCATGATGCCACCACTGGCCTGCATGGCAGCTGCCACAAAATGCTTTAAAAAAAACTATACAGCCATTCAGTACTTATTGCAGTGCATCACTCTCAGCATTACGCCTCCACCACCATGCTTAGGAGTTTGAATTTATTGTGTTTATACAGTTTGAATGCTTCTTCTTTTACTTTCCTAAACATACAGTGTTTTTCAGGAGACCTTCAGTTAGTCCACACAGGAAATCTGAAATTTAAATGTAGGTTAAGTGATTTTGTGTGACTTGTTTTGTAGCTGGGATTTTTTTTCTTGGACTTCCTCCTTCTGAGTCCACGATGATTTAAATGGACAGTAGAGTTAGTGGAGATTCCGTCTTCGACTTATCCTGAACTATCAACCAATATTCTTACATCTGAGCTGAACAGTTTTGGCCTAAGGGTGTTACTTTGGACAATTGGTTATCCCAACTGCAAATAAAGCTGGTTTTAGAAAAGCTAAAGCAGGCTAATGTTAAACTTCTAAGACGGTTGTGATGTAATCTCCATCTGAAAATGTGGGGCTTTTTCTAATAGTCACGTCTGTAAAAAAAACAACCAACCATGTTAAGGGAATCGTAAATGTTCATCACTGTACACGTTAAGGACTGCAGTCATTTTGTGAAATCTACAATAAATTATTGTGTTTTGGAAACTAATTGCAGATGTATCATGTATAATCAATTCACATTGAGAATTCAGACAATCCAAATAAACGCATCATTAAAAAAACATAATTAACATGACTTTGAAGCTAATGATAACTCTATGTGCACCTCTGATAAAAAATGTTGAATAGAGATAATTTTAAACACCAACTGCTAAAACTTCCTTCATACCTTCCTCGTAAAATAAAAAATCTGCTTGATAATTTTACTAAAGCTGAGAGACACTATTTTATTTTACAAGCAGCCTTACCAGATGGGGTATTGTCATGTTCAACATTGATGGCACTTGTAAGGCTTTAGCTGAAGCCATTGGATAACAGTAAATCTTCAGACGTCAAATGTTAACCAAACACATCACAGAACAGTTGTTCTGCTGTCTTTATAGAGTTTGAGTGGGGCTGCCGAGAGCAAAGTAAACAGTGTTGATTGTCAGTTTTATTGACAGAAGCAAGCTGTCAACTATTTGATTCATTAGCACAAGATTTTAAAAGCTGTTGTCATACATGGCGCTTGCATGACTAATGCCAATTTATTTCAGCAGCTGTCAGATGTTGGAGGACTTGCTGTAAATTGTGTGTTGTATTTGAAAGGTTGACGTCTAAAAACCTTTCAAAGGAATATTTAGCTGTGGCTGCATTGTGCATGCAAAACAGATTATTATTGCTCTCCAAAGTATTCTAGTTTTTTAAAAGCATGTTGTGGAGAAAATAATTGTTCTCATGTTCTCGTTGTTCTGCCCTAAAAGCAGACTTCGGTTTTAAATTTGACAGAAGCAGCTATTCACTGTGTAGCTGGTGTGTTTTTTTTATCAGTGAGATGTCAGTGAATAAGCCTGTGTTACATGAGCGAGGCTATTGTCAGATTTTTCTTTATACTGTTAGCTAAATCTGTTTCCAATTATTCTCTCCTACTGTTATTGATAGCCTGAAGCTTGGCATTCAGGTGCCTACTATTTGTCTGCTGGGGATAGCAGGTGTTGCTTAATTATGTTTCCTGACAGCTACGTCCAAAAAAGAACCCTTTTAGGTTTAATGTTTAGTTTTTTAGAGTGTCTATAACAAAATAAAATGTATCACAATGTCATAATCTTTTTCTGTGTCCTGTCTACCAGAGGAGGCACAATTGTTGACACTCCAAGTTGGAAATATGCATGAAAAGCTCTTATAATTATCTGTTTTGTAATGTGACTTCATATTCTCATCCTGAAAGTGCTAAAACAAAAACAAAAAAATACTGAGGTTTGCATAATTTAGCTTTAGGGACATGCAATGAAACCTCGCTGGCAAGTAAGAAGCTGGAGTTAATGCGTGAGGATAAGTAGTAACAGCTAGAAATAGTTTGACTCGCCTTAGAACGGTTTGGCTTCGGAGGGACTTACCCCCAGCTCACACCGACTCCGGTCTTACCGTTGCGGTGCGGTGTGTGCGGCGCCGCAGTGATTCCAAGACATTAAAAAGACGTAAACCTCTCTCACCGGCTGCTGAGCTGTCCGGCTGCAGTTACCGAGACACACAGAAAATTCAGCAAGAAAGCTATCCTTGCGGCGTGCCGGAGCCCTCCGCAACAAGCTCTCGCAAATATCCTTATTTGGGCCGTGTTATCGCGTGAAGTTACGTGAACTCAAGTGAACTTCTGTTTAAATCTCCGGACCTGTTGCCAGAGCCGCAGAGCCGCACCGTAGTCAAAAGGGCGGTGTGAGAGGGGGTGTGCGGGAGTTGCGGTCTCCGTCGGCTTGGTAACCACACCGGAGCCAGTGTGAGCAAGGGGTAAACCCTCCCCTGCTCCAGAGCTTCCGTGGAAGAGTGTCATCTTTCAAGAGCTGAGGATACTCACAAGTTATTGGCACCAGGTCATCTTGTGCCAAACAGCAACAATCAATTTTACAAGCATTTCCTCAGACATGTATTGTTATGTCTTTAATACTCAAGTTGAGAAAGGAGTAGAGCTGTTAACTCATTACCATCTTTTGGTGAGTTGGATCTGGTGTCAGGAAAAGTTAACCCAAATGATAATGAGGGTGACTCGGGAACATCTAATGGAGATACATTTGGCTGGAAGGTGTGGAGCTACTTTGGTTGTGGAACCAAAATTTGGGGTTGAAAGGTAATTTGAAGAAAGAGTGGAGACTTTTGATTGGCCTCAAGAAAGGGAATTAAAACCGATCACCAACTCAAAAGAGGTAAACCAGGGATTATCCCAATCTCTGATCTGCAGGCGCTTATGACGGACATCGTCAGATGATGGACGGAGAATTCCTTAATCTTGCACCATGCTCCCCACAGTGGGCGTAGTGCTTTACCGTGGCAGCTGTGGCAAAGGTGGTTAAAAGGCACCAAGATGGGATAGGGTTAGGTTAGTTCTGCAGGATTACACTTCCTACAACATACTCATCAATGTGATCCAAGTGCCTCTCCATACATCTTTATAATCTTTATTTGTTGTCTCACACCAAACACACCTCAGCAGTCTTGTTGTCTGAGGGCTAGTAAAATTTATATTCCAGAGTAAGAGATGTAATGGTTTAATCACTAGAGGCATCTACAAACTGATGTTTTTTTTTTCTTTTTTCAAAGGCAACTTCTTAGTTATCTTGGAGCCTATTGGCCCAAAGTGGCCGTTCAAACCCATCAAGCCATTTGCTCACATCCATATATTCCGCTGATTTTCTGCTGGTTGTTCCTCTGTGATAAAGATTTGTCCTGAGTTATCAGGTGGGGGGGAAGCTGGTTATTATTTCTCTATGAAGCTTTTGTGTTTCAGCTCCTTATTCGTCTCCCCTGACACAGCTGGTCACCCAAACTGCGTGCTTCCTGCCTCTTATTATTCCCATGGAGACGGAACAAAGTCAGAATAAGAATGGGTCAAACGTAATTTCACAGCTTTGCTGCCTATTCAGACATTCACAGGCGTTAAATGGAACATAGTGGACGATGCATTTATTTCTCATCACCCTTACTGCTCTTTAGATTTATCTTACTCTGTATTGTATTGCCGACCTTGGAAAAAAAAGAAATAAATTGCTCTGACAGAGTAGAAAGATATGGACGCTGCAGCACAAGTGCAGGTCTTTGACTTAAAATTAACTTTCTGTATTTGTGTTTCGTTCTGCCACTAGATGGGTTCATTTTAAAGAAGCGCTACTGGCAACTTTCTGTCCTCGGTCTGAATTAAAATCCTTTAGACTTGACGAATTGGTAATAGTAGTTGTCATTGCATTTTAGCAGTTTTAGTATACATTTATTAGAGAAATTAATTGTTACGGGGGTTGTTAAAGTTTAATAACAACCATGTGTTCGTGTCAATATGTCAAAATTGTTACAAAGATCCATTCAGTGAGAAGCTCAGTCTCTTACCTCCCTTTAGCCATTTACCTGACTAAAATACGGAGCTACTGCTGGGAGCTTTAAACACTGCTCCCATGGTGAATAAATCCATCAAAAACCATACGCAACTGCTAGCTGACAAGGTAAGTACTAAAGCATTGTTCAGAAAAAGGAAAAAAACTAAACTTTAAAAGATGTTATATGCTAACCGCGCAAAGGCTACAACACTGATGTTTGAGAGCAACTTAAAAGGCTCAGTAAAGCTAAACACTATGGCTATGTCAGAACGTCCGCCCGAACCCCTAAAACCATCAATCAATATATAGAGCGGGGACTATGTAGTGGACTTTATAGTGAACTCAGTTAACTGACATTTTAGACAGATGATAACTACTTTTTGCTTCCCTATGGTCATGTAACTCCGCCTCCCCGCACAATGCCTGTGCCATCTTGGTTCTGTCTTGCCACCACAACAAATACCATGATTCTTTGCAGGGGGAACTCTCACTTAGCATGCTGGGATGTATTTGCTCGTCTAGTAACCATAGAACATCTATTTTTCAAGGTGCATTCTTGGAAATTTCGATTCTGCTACTTTTTCATCCACTTGATGTTCTAACACTCATCCCAACCAGTATATAGATCCCTACATAGTGATTAGGGCGAATGTTCGAAAACAGCCTCGTATTTGAATAGTATTTTCAAGTACATGGACTAGCCAATGATGTCAATGTATTGTTCTGAACTCCTTCATCTTGATGTGCATCCAAAGTGCAATATGAGATAAGATAAGATCGACTTTATTGATCTCACAGTGGAGAAATTCACATTTCACACCGGCCCAATAGTCAAAAGAAGGTGCCGAAAGGAGGAAAAGATACATGGGGTATATACAGTGAATCCGTCTATCTATATATAACATTTTTCAAACCATGCTCCTTGTACTGCTGAAATGTTAATCAACTGGTTGCTCAGTCAGCTACTCAATGGAGAAATAATGCACATTTTGCTGTAAAGGCATTGGAGGCTGATGTTATGGCAGAAAGAAGTACGAATCTGTTGCTACCATGATGCTGTACATAATTACTGAAGAAAATATCATGCAAAGGCACAAGAAAGGCAGAACTTGTAGAGGACTGCTGCACATTGCATGTACCAGATAGTAGTTTACATAGAAAAAAATCCATCTTAGTTTTATTCTATTTTAAAATGATCGCTTTTCATAATATACTTCCATAAAGTATATTAGAATTCAAAAATGTTAAGATGTATATAGAGTTTTTAAACATGTGAGCAACGTTGATAAGTTTGGTATTCTTCTACCTTACACTACTTTGTTTATCGTCATTAAGAATGTTAAAGGTCTAAGGTCCCTATTGTTTTATCTTAACTGAAGAGACCCTTTGCCCTTCCAAAAAGTGTTGCAAGTATGTAGTTTGAAAGTTAAGAATCGTGGCAACCATATTTTATTTAAAATATATTTAAATGTTTTCGCATTGCAAATTGTTTAGCAGTTCACTAAAAAAAGGTTCTGCAAAAAATTTTACTTTTGCAGTTTGTTTCTTTTAATTTCTTTTAAATAATTAGTCAGGCTGTAATACTTATGTATTTTATTCTTCAGCAAATTACTGGCCTCTGTTAATAAGAAGGTGTTTTAAATATCAACATATATGTGTACACCTATTGACATGTTAAAATTACAGTAGACAAATTTCTCTTTTTCTCATTATTACGAAGGCAATACAGCCACAGGCTTCAGTCCAGTGAAATTTTATATGGATTTAAAATTATATCAGCTTTACAAGTGGAGAGGAAAGTTAAGGATATTGGCTAAAATTTTGCAGGTTTATTTGCACTTCTGAATAAAAGCTGCTCATGCATCTCAGTCAGATATCATTTAAATCTTAATTTACTTGAGTGTTTCAGTTCAAAACCTGGAACTGATAAAGGAGAGTTTGGACCCATCTTGGTTGATATGAAAATTAATTAAAACACCCAAAAATAAAGTAGTTTTAACAGACATTTCATGTTGTCGTCTACCAAATTATGAAGAAAACTGCCAGTAAACCAACAGCTTTCCAGTAGGCAGATATTAAACCTCACCAAAGTTAGGGAATGCCAGACATTTAAAGGCTGTATCCATTATATGGAAGTTTCTGTGGAGGGAAAAGGTGTGGTATAAAATACTAGTTGGAGGATTATAAACAGCAACATTTGGATTTGTTTTTAGAAAAATACTGCTTAAAAACAAAACAAGACATAGAAGGTCAAGTAACGCAAAGCAAACTAGGAAAAGTTGTCTTTGAAACAGAACGGGAATTTAATGGATTTTTATTAGCCTGACCAGCCAGAATGGTACGACATCAACATGTCATTGAGTTCAAAGGCGGGACTAATAGCGTCAGCATCATCAGGTTAGAGCCAATCAGATAAGTATGGATGTGATACACAAACTTCAAGTGTTGAGGTTTTAAAATTAGATCAACCTCACTTAAGAATTCAGAAAGGGCATCAATGAAACATTGCTGTGTTGCGGTCAACATCTTGCTGTTATGCTAGCACAAAAGCACTGCTGCATTATGGGTGATTCTGGCCCTGAGAGTGACACATCCTAAAGTCCCGCCTCCTACGCAGTGATTGGTCCGAACCATTAAGATTGTTACCGGTGATTAGTCAGACTTAATTATGCTCAGTGTAATTCAGTCTGGCTGGCCAGACTACATTTCTATACCAAAGGAAAAGGACTAAATACACCATATTTTCCAGACCATAAGCCGCTAATTTTTTCCCACACTTTTAACCATGCAGCTTATAAGACGGTGCAGCTTTTCCATGGATTTTGTCCTAACCCCCAGAGGTGGAAGTCAAAGTTGGAAATGGCAGAGTAAAGGGCTAATGGAGAACAAATGTATGTAGAGCTGAGCTCCCCCTACAGGTTTGGTGGGAGACAGTTCAGTAGATATCATTGGCTTATAGCCTGGTGAGGCATATATATGTACGTTTCAAGTTTTTCAAAAAATGTAGTGGGCACGGCTTATATAGAGGTGCACTCTATAGTCTGGGAAATATGGTAGTATTTACTACGCATATTAGCATAGAGTACTTTTCAGCGGCTAATGTTGCTTTAGTAAAAATCTTATTTTCATTTGTATATGTAATCTTTAACTTTTTTAGATACCTAATTTAAGTGTTTCTTTTCTTTAATCTAGAATCATAAAGATAAGGGTAAATATATCAGTTTATTTCTATTTGTTCTTTTTAATTTTATGAGTTATAATTACATTTCAAAGTAAATAACATTTTTGATGGCATTCTAACTTGTTGTATCTTTTTTGTTCTGTTTGCAGAGCTTCCCGGGGCTCCTTCTAACCTTGTCATCTCTAACATCAGTCCTCGAACAGCAATGCTTAGGTTTCGCCCCGGTTCTGATGGCAAAACAGCCATATCCAGATGGATCGTGGAAGGACAGGTGTGTTTGGGCTCAAAGTACACCTCAGTGGTGAGAGCCGATGGCAAAACACAGCAGGAGGAGATCTGTCTTGCAACATGCTCCCTATTTAACAGGTGGTGAAGGAGGACGGCAAGGAGGAGGCATGGAGAGTCGTTTACCAGAAAGACAACGAGCCGAATGCAGACACACTGGAGATCCCCAGCCTGACTCCCTTCACTCAGTACAGGTTAGCAGCAAACACCCTCATCCTGCTCAGAGCAAGTCTGAGCACAATCTCAGGCTCACACATCATGGTATGCACGCGCTCCGGCTTACACAAATCTTACTCTTCGGCAGTTTCTGCAGTATCGCAAGGCTCAGGTGAAGTTCGATAAATCACACTGGCACACAGAAAGACAGTTCCATCTGAGACTTTTCTGTTTGTCAGCACCTTCACAGCTGCAGCATGCAGATACTTATTACCCTCCTGCAAACTAGCTAAAGGAAAGGGGAGGGAGAAGCAGTGAGATGAGGGCAGGGGAGAGGAACGTTGATGAGAAGGTTTGAAGGGCAGTAGAAAGCATTAAACCAGAGAACGAGGAAAGAATGAGAGACAAGGAGCGTGGCGGGGGGATGAAGAGAGAAGTGAATCTATCAGGAATCTGTTCCTTCTTTTAAAAGCAGCTCATCCTCTTCCTCTCCTACACGTCTCCGTATCCCAGTATCCTTAATTTTCATCCTTGGTTGGAAAAGTATGGAGTTTCATTCTAGTGTTTCCAGTTCCTGGTTGTAAATAGAACATGTTTTTTTCCAGAATTTCCTAATCTATCTATATTTGCTTTATAGAGAGTCCTTACATCTATGCATTTGCACATTATCCACTTATCTATGCACCCATCCACGCAGACTGTGGAACTGTCTGTACTCTGCAAATCAAACTTCCGAAAGACTTATAAATTTGTCATAAAAATGTGTAAGAAGCTTGATTATCCGTGTTGTCAACTGTGATGGGATTTTGGCACCTTTCCACACAGTTTAGAGTCACTGGGTTCCTGCTGTCACAGGCAGAAGCTCTAGGATGTTAGATGAAGTGTTGCACTTGCCTGCATTTCTTATCTTTCTTTGTATCTTGCTTTTACTCTTTCCCCATCGCTGGGACAACACATCATAGATTTATTCTCTCCTGCAAACTCTGCCAATCACATGTTTCATAAGCCACACTGAAGCATGGCTGCGTTTAGAAGCATAAGAAACAAACGCTCTCCTGTGAGTATTTTCGTGTTTGCGAGTCTTCATGTTCAGAAATGGTGGTTTTACTGACTGCTGTTTTCAGACAACTAAAGAGCTTCTCCTGAGAAGCCTCAGCTTTTTATTTCTACTATTCCATAATTTAATAGCGAAATCATTCTGCACAGTTTGGCACTTTGCCTAACATTTAAAGGTTTTAAATCAGGCTATCTTTATACTGATCTTATCAGTGAGGCAGGGTAAAATATTTACTTTTTCTGACATGTTTAGCAAGCAGTAAACCATGACAAACTTCACTTTATAAAAAACATATACATATGAATCTAAAGCAAATTAATGTACCGGTATTTATTTTTCTTATACCAGGAAATCTCTGGAATTTATTGAGGATCCTTCACCAACTGCATTATTTTAAATTCTTTATAAAAGGCTTTTTTTGCTTTATTCTATTTGCAATCAATATATTTGCAGCCATGATATAATTGTATGCAAATGCATTTGCATCAGCAAACTTTAACATAATTAACTTTTAATTATGCTCTTATTAATCTAATATATGTCAGTTTGACTCATCCGTCAGGATTAAAAAAAGACTTGGTAAATGTATCTGCGTGGAACCTGATAAAGGAACCATATTTGTTGACATAGAGAGCACAGATTTTCTGGTTGAAGCTTCTCCTTTTTTTGAGTGCAGCAGATTGCAACAGATGTCATAGGCATGATGGTCAGAGCATAACAGTAGCTCACTGGAAGCACTGCCAGGCAGCGTGTGCATGATGAGGTGGTAGTGTTGGAATGAGATCAGATGCTTTAGGTTCTCTGATGAACAAGCCATGCCACTGTGCATGGGAAAGCTTTAAATGCTGCAAACCCCACTATGCTACCTTACAGGCTCTAAACCGTTTGGGAACTTAAGAGCCTCTTTGCCCTTGTAGATCTTTTTTTTTTGCAATGCATTATGGTATTAATTAGGTGTGAAGGGGGGCTTAATGTCCTGTAGCCATTCAAGAATCAAGAGTTATTGCAAAATTGAAGTTATGCAACAGTTTTCTGCAGGGATATATTTCAGGAATTTTGGCCTTAAAATTAATTGATTCATGGGTTAAAAGTCAGAATTGAAGTGTGTTGATTTTTCTCTGATTATATCAGTGAGTAACTTGTTATTTATCTTGCATACTTTTGCGCCGTAGTCTGTTGTTATTTTGTTACTCTAAACCCTTAGCCATATTTGACATGGGGACACCTGACCCTCCCAGCCAAACCATGAACTCATGTTGCACTTTAGGCTACATAATTCCTCGACACTGCATAAAGTAATATTTGCATAGCATGTTTCATATTTATACATATATACATATTCATAATATAGTATATATGGATTTATAAATATCTTTTATTATTATCAGAGATACAGTACATTGTTCTTGTTATAGTCCCTTGCTGCTGTTCCCTCTGTTTTATGCTGTGCTACTCATGTGCCTTGAAATTGCTCCGTTCGAGATAAATGCATTTACTGAATTGAATAGACATCAGTAGAATCCCTATTGTCCTTTTTTTTCTGAGGCTATAATTAACTGTATGACAGAGGCTACTAACCTGCAAGTTTGTAAGACCTAATTGCAAACATTCGCTCATTAAATATGTGGGGATGTCCTAATTCCAGTTTTTTAATAATTTGCTAAAATTATATCTCCTTAGAATCCCTATTAAAAGTACTTAAAGTCCACCATAAAGGGTTATGGTTAACAGAAAAACACAACAGTCATTCCACAGTTATAAAGATGGCTTTAATGGGGAAGTTGGCCACTTGAATTACCCGTCAGTTTTCAGTGACAAAATCAGTGATGGTTTTGTTAAACACATTTATGAAGTGAATCAGGTTATTATGAGAACAAACTGGTAAGAGTGAAAAATCTTTACCAGACCTTGGTTCTAGAAGCAGTCAGTACCCATAACAGAAAGAAATGAGAGGATGCTAATATTGGCCCTACTGATGTTGCCTCTTATAGTTTTAGTCGATTTCCATTTGCATTTCCTTTAGTAGAGGAAAAACTCTGAGACAGAAATTGACTCTCCATAAACCACAGACTTTATGTGCAATTAATCATTTAAATTTATAATCTATCGATAGCTGAACCTGTACATTTTCATGTTCATCTGCATAGCCAAAAATAAGGTATTCTAGTCTACATTTATACATTATTCGACTTCCTCTAAAATACAAGCATTGCTGCTGAATGTAGTTCTTTAAAGTAAAGGTTAGATTTTCCTTTTCAGACGTCCCTTATTCACTTTTTGTATGTAGAATATGTAGTTTATTTTTAATTAACCTAGGGCTGCTCAGTGGCCTTACATAAAGAAGTTTTTTCTCTGTGGAGTTTACATGTTCTCCCTGTGCATGCGTGGGTTCTCTCCGGGTACTCCGGTCTCCTCCTACAGTCAAAAAACATGAATGTTAGGGCTAAATTCTTTGAGTGTGTGTGAATGGTTGTTTGTCCTGTTTGTCTCTGTGTTGCCCTGCGATGGACTGGTGACCTGTCCAGGGTGTACCCTGCCTCTCGCCCGTAGACAGCTGGAGATAGGCACCAGCTCCCCTCGCAACCCCACTTAGCGATAAGTATGAGAGAAGATGGATGGATGGATGGATGGATGGATGGATGGATGGATGGATGGATGGATGGATGGATGGATGGATCTATTAACCTAAAACATTGCATATTGTTTCTTTTTTTAATTAAATAATTCTATTTAATGTAAAAATATGCAGTCATAGAAATACTGAAAGTATGTAGTTTATTTAGTTGTTCAATATTTTATACATATTTCATGTTGCGTCCCATTTGTTCCTAACCCTGGTCTTGATGACTTGTGTAAAATATAAAAGAACACTGATCTGATTTTCATTTTCATTACTTTAAACACAGTAATCACATGTCTTATAGGAAGAGAGTAGCTGTTTCTATATTATGGATGAGATATTTAAAATCCTTTGTTTTTTTAAAGTAGGTACAGCTTGACATGTTGTCAAAGTCAAAAAGTCAAAGTCAAAAAAGTCAAAAGTCAAAGTCAAAAAGCCTTTATTGTCATTATATTCTGTGACAGATACAATGAGATTTGGGACTTCCATAACAGCTACCGTGAAATAAAAATAAAATAAAAATATATAAAAAATATATAGATATATTAAAAGGAAAATGAAAAGGAAATGTAAACAGTTACAAAAAATATATATAAATATATTAAAGGAAATGTAAACAGTGAAAAGGAAATGTAAACAGTACTGGCACAGATTGTGGGGGGGGGGGGGGGGGGGGGGGGGGGGGGGGGGATAGTGCAAAACAGGTGTAAAGTGACCGACAGCGCAGGTCGGAGTTGAGGGGGGGCAATGGCTCGGGGGAAGAAACTGTTCTTGAGTCTGTTTGTCCTGATCCTCATTTGCCTGTAGCGCCTTCCAGAGGGCAACAGGTCAAACAGGGTGGAGCCAGGGTGGGAGCTGTCCTTGGAGATGGCCCTGGCTCTGCTGAGGCACCGGGTGGAGTAAAAGTATGAAACATCATATAGCAGACAGCTCCATTACAAACCCCACACACATCACTTCACCATTTAAACTCTACATTTAAACTCTTACATTTAAAATATGATTTTTATGCTCTCAAGGTTCAGGATGCAGCAGGTGAACATCGTCGGCTCAAGTCCAATGAGCGCCCCCTCTAGGCTGATTCAAACACTACAGGCTGCCCCTGACTCCCACCCCTCCAACCTCAGCCTCGTGTCTGCCACACAGACCAGTCTACGCTTTAACTGGAAGGTACCACACACACAGCCACACACATACGTCAAACACATGGTGGTCTCTGTAAAACCATTAACCACTATTCTTTTTTTTAATACTTATTTAAGCTGTGCTAATTTGACTGGGAGTTCATTTATGTCTTTGCGGACCCGTTTTGTTTTTGCATCTTTTTTTTTTCCTACATCAGTATTAGTGTGCTTGCTCACTCTCTCAGCAGCAGCCGCAGCAGCAGGACTGAACAGGTTGACAGCCTGTAATCATTGTCTCTACTGGTTATCATTGCACACACTAATCTGTCACATTTCCCATTCACCACTTTGGACCACTACCAGCACAAACCACTATGTTTTGTTGTCCTCTTAGTCTTCCCTTTTTTTTGGGTTTTCTTCTCTCCCTCTTTCCCTCCATCCTTCTTTCACTCTCTACCATCCACTCCTCTTATCACGACATAAATGTAGAGCAGAGTATTTTTCCATTTAAGACTTGGAATGAGAAAAAGAGCCTGTCAAATCAGACACAGACACTGAGACACTGTGGACTACAAGTGCAGCATGCTAATGGGATTTCACCTGTATGTTAGCACCCTGCCTGGGCTATGCTGGTTTTCTGCTGTAATGGGAACATCATAATGGTGTTAGCTAAGGCTATTATTCTAAGCTGCATATTAAGGGTAATAAAACTAATGTGACATTTTGTATTATGGCTCCTAAATGCTAAGCTGTGCTAAATCACTGAGGTATTTAAAATGACTGGGCGTCTCAAAGACTTATCCTTTGTACAACATGGGACACTTGCTAAATACAGTGCTGGTGAAAATTGTCTGATATATTAGGTACAAAGTATGGACACCTGGCTAAAGTGATTACCGGAGAATTATTCCCTAAAGTAATGCGTCACCATGCATCCCCATGTGGGTCAGAGGTAATGGAGGACCACTTAAAATCAGAGCAAAATATGCTACAGGTAAGAAGAAGAAAGAAAAAAGATAAAGGTGACTGGACTTTAACAACGCAGAGAATAGTTAGTTCTTTGGTTATTACTGGTTGAGGGGTATCTTGCATGTTAAACCCATTTCAGGGGACCCAGAGCATCTCAGTGAGTGACACAAATTGAACATCTAATTCTAAAAGGGTCAAATATTATAGGCCTGAATGTGGTCGGTATGGAAATAAGCAGAAAAACCTACATGCTGTGAACTTAGAGCGAAGTGGTAATATCTGCCTTAGAAACTGTGCTGAAAGCAGCATAGTGTTAATCTGACATGCAATGAATTTTATTTTTCTTCATTGTTAGTCTTGTTAGATATGTGTTGACAAAAAAAGGAATGTCTACATAAGCCAGGCAACATTTCAATAATATCTGTAGTAGAAAACAACAGATTTGCTCCTTGTTTTCTTTCAGCCTCTTCTGGAGTCTGAGTACAACAGCAGCCCAGAAACTGTGGGCTACAGGCTTCGTGTGTGGAGGACAGATGGGGACGGGGAAGACAGGAACGAGGACGTATCGGGCGGAGTTGAAGCTAACGAAGCCACTATAGAGGGGCTAAGTCCTTGGACTCACTATCAGGTTCAGATACAAGCCTTCAACTCCATAGGAGCCGGACCATGGAGCCAAACCGTTGCAGCATGCACCACCGAATCTGGTACAAATACAGACCTCATTCAGTCCCCTTTCCTGTTTCCAATTGTCCAGCAGAGATGTGTTTGACATATTACTAGTTGGGCATAAGAAGGCAGTTGGTTGAGAAATAAAGTGCTACAATTACTTTTCTGGGTCCTCCTCTCATCTTGCCACCTTTCCTGGCCTTTACTCGCCCCCTCAATTTCACACAGGGGAAGATTGATGGAGAGAGGGAGGGAGGTGGATGATTGAGGTAAAATCGAAGATTGGTTCAGAGAGTCAAGTGGCACTGAGCGGCGTGTTTGTGCGCACGTTTTCTTTGTCTGTTTTTTCCTCAGCTCCGTCTGGATCTCCAGTGAATGTAAGTGCTGAGGCAGTGAGTTCCTCCAGGATCATGCTCACCTGGTCTCCTATTCCTGAGGCACAAAGGAACGGAGTCATTATCGGCTATAAGGTGAATAAAAACTCTCAAGCAGACACAGAGACACTCAAACCAACCGTAATGTTCTGGCCTGACCCTCTTGGCCCATTACCACTTCCTCCAACACACTCACATCCACACAGACCTTCACACACACAAAAAATCTGATACAAGAGGAAAATGATGTAATATCCTGTAACTATTCCGGTTAGTCCATTCTCCACCATTGCTTTTAGCACCCTGCTGCAATGATTATGTTTTGGGGGTATGCGTGCAATTTAAGAAGGATTTATGTCTTTGATAACACAGAAGTGGGTGTAAGGTGAAACAAAGATAGGATTATGCCTTTGTTAGAAAAAAACAGAAAAGTAATCCACAAAACCTGTTGGATTTGGAAGATTTTCTGTAATTCAACAATATGAACTGCAGGTTTGGCAAGAAATGATATGCTTTGTGTGCATAGTCACAGTCAGAATAGAGCATTTAGGTCCAGACTGCCATTCCACTTAAAGCAATACATCCTGCAGCCTGTCCTCATCTCTCATGTTCAATCTGAAATAAAGTGAAATATGTCAAATCGTAAGCCTAAACGGTTACATTGCCAACATATTTAGACATGCAGGTCAGCATTTTGTCTCATTTTCAGAATCCTGAGATGTTGCAGTGTCACCCTTAATGTCTCTCTAAACAGAAAATTGCAGTTAGACATACAGGTTTATTTGTTTCAAAGGTTAAATGTTTTTTAAAAGGTTAACTGTTTTATTTCACTCCTTTCGGAAGGGAAACTCAAGTATTCATATGGATTCATTAACCATGAAGTGAACATTTTCGAGCCTTTGTTTCTTGTAATTGTGATAATTGTGGCTTAGAGATATTGACACCCAAAGTTCAGCATCTAGGGAATTGAAGCATTGGGAAAATGTTGAATATTGTAAACTTGTGGCATCACATCCTAATCAGCTGATTAGCTATAAAAAGCTGAAAGTCCATTGTGGGTCAGTAGATTACACAAACATGGGGAAGACTGCTGACTGGACAGACGTCCAGAAGACGATCAATGACATTCTCCAAAAGGACAGCAGCCACATTTCTTAAAAAGCTGGTTGTTCAAACAAATCATAGTTTAACTGTCCAACCCAAACCTTTTTACTGACATGTGCAATATTTTTCATAACAACCAGGATCCTCAATTCTGTTTCCTACTGTATATCACTGTACAGTTTTATCTTATAATGTATACGTGTCTGAGTGGAGTTAGTTTTAATCTTATTTAGCATTTGTGACATTTATTCATCCATTCATTCATATTGCTTTATCCCAGCATTTTCATTGAAAGTTAAGCCAAAGGAAAAATTTGTTGTAGTAAACAGGGGAGGACTGCAGCCGTGAGAGGACAGTTTTATTTATTTAGAGGATAGATATATTTATTTTCATTTTGTATACACAGAGTGTATACAAAACAAAACTTAATTTTGTTCAGCTTTCAGGCAGTAAATAAGCAGAAGCTTAGCAGTGAAATGAACATTTCCATTTCATAAAGTGCAGCAGTGATCAGATGTAAACAGCGTGGGAGAAAAACATAGATCATGCAAAATATATTCAAGAAATTTGGGTAGGTTCATAAGGAGAAGGCATCACTTTAAGACAACCCCCGAACCCAGCAGGTCTTGGTACCTGCCTGCATTGCAAAAAGGAACTAATAGTTGGTTTAAACACCAGCGATGGTGTTACTGTGTTGAATGGCCATCATGCTGGCCTGGACATATTAGGGTACTTATGAAGTACCATCAAATTAAGATGAGAAACACCAGACCAAACAATGAAGATGACCTGAAGGTCTGTACCAATCTAATCTGGGCCTCCTTTACAACTCAGCAGATCCAGAGACTGATTGCCTCCCTGCCACGCTGCATTGATGCAGTAATTCATGCAAAGGAGCCCCAATCCCACATTCTTACCCAATATTCCAAAACTCTTGGTCGAAAGTTTGCTTTTTGTTTTCTATCTGTAAGCTATAATCATCAACATTTAAAAAAAAATCTTTAAACTTTTTTTCTTTTTGTGTAATCAATCTGTATAAAAGTTATACATTTTCCTAAACTGAGTGAAAATGATTTAACTTTTTCACAGTATTTTTTTAAAACATTTTTTTTTTTTTTTTAGATATGTAGAACCTATCTTAAGTGTTGGATTTATGGATGATTCAGATGTTAACCTTTCCCCCTTTTTTATTAATACAATTCTTTAAAAATGCTCTTGCTAAATTTATTTTAGACATAAACTAAAAAAGTGTCTTGATCCAGCTGATGGCATAATCAATATCATATGTGTTTGAATTCCTATGAAAACATATCCAAGTATTGTTTTTAGCTAACCTTTAAATGATATACAGCTAATGTCATTTTTTAAAACGGATCATTGTTAATCTTGGAAACTATACAGAAACCTTTTTTTTATTGAATGACTACATGTTTATGCTTTTGAATATAAACCATTCACAGTCATGAGACAACATCAGATCTAACATCATATTTTTTTTTGTTGCCATTTTTACATATCAGCCAAAACAATCTGGTCTACTAAAAATTTAAAAAATACTTTTCATATTTACTTTGGTCTGATACTAGTATCTGTTGAAAAATCTGAATATATAAGTGGCAGAAAAGCAAAACCTGAAAGAATCATCACCAGGAAAAACACTTTTGTAGATCTCTGTAAATCACACTGTGTATAAAATCCAGGTCATCATCAACCTGCCCAAAGCAAATAACACCCTACATCTGTGTGTCTTCCTGTGGATCACACTGAGCAGCATGCCTACCATGTTAATAGATGGGAAGTGGCTGCCAGCAGCAGCTCTTTTAACACCTTCCACCCCTCACTAAATGTTGAATAGCCATCCCTGATCTCCTGCTGTGCGCGATCTGTGTCTTATTTTTAGATGAGGTGATTTTATTTCCTCCAGTGGTTTTAAGAGTCATATTATTTAAGTTTTCGAGCAATACAGTAAAGGGGAGAAAGGGATAACAAAGAAAAGCAGGTCTTGACACATTTTTTCTTCTAGCTGTTTTTAGTCAATGATAACCCAGTGTGAACTGATTAGACTTTTTTTTTCTATAGTAATAACTATCTTTGTGACAGAATTTATTTTCTAAAGGAATAGTGATATTATTTATTTTACTTCGATGCTGTCTCCCAAACAGAGCAGAGATGTAGTTTCATGTTCCTTGTGAGTTGTGATCATGTAATGCTTGTCTTAATTCTGGAATCTAAATATAGACAATAAATCGTAACCAGACAGTTTGTTGTATGCCTCTTTACCATTTTTTTTCCTTATTTTTCACAGGTCTTGTACAGTGAGAAAGACTCAGATGGCCCGCCTAGTGTTCAGGTGGTAGAAGGAGACAAAAATATTACGCTGTTACTGCGTTCACTCCAAAAATACACCATGTATGCATTACAAGTGCTGGCGTACACAAGGATTGGAGACGGCCCTCCCAGCAGCCCCGTCCTCCTCAGGACCAAAGAAGATGGTAGGAATTACTGACCTGTGACCAGAAGGTCTCTGAGCATATTTGTTTCCCCTTTACACCTCTTTGTTTTTGTTTTCTTTTTGTTCTTCACACCTCTCCTGTCATGACAGACATATGTGTATTTGTTTTTCACTCTAACCATGTTAAAATGTTTAGCTCCCGATGTGTAGACCTGGTAACCATTACGGCATTTTTATGATCCGCACAGACACACGTGTTCAGGAACATATGCTCTCTCGCACACCAGCAATCATCCTCTGTCAAGTCGTGTCACGTTTGAAAAGTTTTTCTCATTTCAGGATAAAACAAAAATGGCAAAGTCAATTCCTGGCAATGTATAATGAACCCCCATCCTTTCTTACACACACACACACTCGAACCAGCTGTAAGCTTGCACACACTTTAGCTGACATGTATTTGCTGAGGTGGAACATGTACTTTTATCAGCAGCAATGTCAGAGTTGTCACGAGGTTGAAGGGAAATTACTTCTTTTCATTTCGTCCTATGGAGTTTCCTCTTCAATGTGTGTAAAAGACTCAGCATACAGTGAAGCAGCGAGGTGTATGCACATTTATATTAGGCAAGCATGTCATATTATGTAGCGACTTTAAAGTCGCATTTGAATGTCATCAGGATGGAATGATCCTGCTACTAACATTTTAATGAGTTTTAAAAACTAGAACTGGATGGACATGGTAGAAATTGTATTCTTTAATTCATACAGCTGCAGGCTTACATATGAATTAAATAGAGAGATATATCAATGCTGAATATTAAGAATTTTGCAGACTTCCTCAAGAAAAGTCCTTAGATACCTCTGGCTATAAATTGATTCACTGAGCTTATTTAAAATGGATGGTGTCACCAAGCTGTTTAGGAATTGTTGACAACTATATTTGGGATTGAGATGATTACAGAACATTAGAGTAAGTCATTCCTAACTACTGCTTATCTGTGCTTTTTGAATGATCAGCTATTGATTTTAGGTTGAATGGAATACTTTTTTTTGTTGGTTCTACTTTCTAATTAGTCCTTTCATGCTGAGCATTGCACCATCACTAATCAAAGTGAAACAGTCCCTTGGCACCATGGGATATAGTTAGGGAGATGCTAATTTAAACCAGCCTTTAAAGCCTTTTAATTAATTATATTTGAAATATTGTTTATACTGTTGATATACCTAGTTGTGTCTGGGTTTTAACTATTATCCTATATACAGATTGGAGGCAAGATTATCTAGCATGGTTATGGTACCATGCTTGATAATCTTGACTCCTCTTAACATATTTATCATTGTGGCCAAAAATGTCAATCTTAAATTTAAAAAAATATATTTTTTCTAGAGGACATGTGACATGATCGAGTTTTTGTCGGGTTATTTTTCACTCAGACTCCTCAAAGTTCATGTTGATAATAAAGGTATTTTACTCTGACAGAGATGGTGGTTTCCCACGCTCTTACAGTTTGTGGTAGTTTGTATCTTTATGGTTCTGGAATCTCTACAGATCATTTTATATTCATCTAATAAAAGACTGTACAGATAACTAGATGTTCTTACAGAACAGTGACAGATCAACCTGTTAAGCATGGTGGTGGCAGGATCATGCAGAGAGATATGTTGGATGGAATTTAATTTCAAATCCAGAATTAGATGTAACGACATAGACACAGCTGGATGAATTAATTGAGCCAATAGAAGCAAAGACAGATAAATACTTGCTTGGGAAAAAAATTTAATGGACTATAAATAAGCCTCTAGAAGGATTAGTTTTGTTTGACCATGTCAGAAGAGCAACCAATTTATATAATCATAATGTGGTGAAATATAAAAGCCTGCTGTCTCTATCAGTCATTCATCTCCTTAAATGTGTGTATTAAATATGCATTGATTTCGCTGCCAACTCCTTTTCCTGTTTTCCTTTCCAGTACCAGGGCCCCCTGTCCGCATGATTTTTCCAGAAGTCCGTCTGACATCTGTTAGGGTGGTCTGGCAGCCACCTGCCTTTCCCAACGGCATCGTTTTAGGTAAAAACACACAAAAAAATTAACTACAAACAAAACACAAACACACTTTGTATGGATTTGAAGAAGCATTGGTGCCGGGGGGTTAGCTTATGCTGGTAACAATTTAGGAATTGGAGACATATGCTTCCTTTTCCAAATGTATATATAGAATCACATACTACTGTTTTAATATAATCATGTTCAACTGGAGCTTCAGAGCTAGTGACAAATAACATGGGGAAGAAAGGCAGATAGTGTGAGTTTGGATGCCGAACAGAGGAAAATGGTTTGTATTTGTCCTCTCAGTAGGGGAGGGAGTTTAGCAGGACAGTTTGAGTGATGTGTGACTGCATTCTGTTGGAGGGGAGGACATTTAGTACGACACCTCTCTGTGACAGAGAGATGAGTGGGAGGGCAAATCCCTCTTTCTCCATCACACCGATATACACAAACACGCGGTCCTGCTGTGTCCTTGTTGAGTGCATTGTGTCTATGCAGACACAAATACTGTAACTGCTATGCACTGGTTTTCTTTGTGCTTCTGACTGGCTCATTTCTCCTTGAATTCTCAATAGACGGTTGAGGCAGAAAGCAGATAAAAGAGAAATGGTAAAAGAAAAAGGTCTGGCATCTGATTTGGCACAATGCAATCTGTGATCCCTGAGAACCAATATATGAATGCTGTACACAAGGTCTCAGGTAGATATAGAAGCTAATGAACACTTTATTTATCCATTATCTTCTAATACAGAAGTATTTATTTAGCTGTTGCAGCATTTTGTACCACAACTTTTCATAAATATGTTTTATACCTGCATTAAAAAAGTTTTTAAAGAGTTTTTAAATTTCAGTCTTAAGTTTATCAATAGAATCCATCATAACCAAATACTCACAGTGAGCCATTTTTGTGAGATGAAAGACGGATGAAAAGATCTTTGTATATCTATTAGATTTAAGAATAGCAAAAAGAAAAGTTCTCATTTCATAACAGAAAATTGCAGCTGACAGAAGCTAAAGATTAAATAAGAATTAAATGTGTTATCAGTCAGTCGCAATCTTCTAACCAGTTGTTAAATATAATTAAAGAAACACAGAATTGGTCATCATTAAACAGACTATGCTGGATTTATCACAATAGTATTGATTTCTAAGAAATTGAAAAATATTTTATAATCTTATTTAATTTTAAAACATAATAATACATAATAAAATAGTTTTTGTGCAACATGTCAACAAAAACAGCAATAAGTACCCTGCGTTTTGGACCTCAAAAGATGAAAAATAAACTTTACCGAGGGCCTCCACCAAAACTCTTACCTTTAAGGTGAGACTTTACCACACAGCTTTTTCTACTGCCAGAAATACGGTTTAGAAACTGTAAAAAGCTAGTTTAAGCAAAGATTCATGCTGAAATATGTTAGATCAAATAGAGCAGGTGTACCCACAAAAACATGGGCTTTTGTGGGTAGTTTCTATCAAATTTTTCATCTAGGATGAAGTGAGAGTCACAGAAAAAACTGCAAACCAATTGGCCTGGAGGTCACTCCAAAGATGAAAGGGGATACTGTTCCTTCTGGCACAGGTGTTGGATGAATGGATGGTAAAGACTCTACATCTCTACAGATCGGTTGCTAACACGGACTGGATTGCAGCTTAAAGAAATGAATAAACCACCTACTTTTGCAAGACTTGTTGCACTTTTATGTACCACTGTGGATACATGCAGTTTACATACGCTTTTTAGTTATTCTTATGTTTATGTATCACAGAGCTTCCTTTAAGCCCCACAAAGGCTGGGCAATAATTACCCAGAATAAAACCAAGAATTTACACCCAAGGTTTGACACAATCTATAATCAATAGTTAATTTTTGGATTAATTGTGGATTACCTAACACTTTAATAAACAAAATTCTTACGCTTACGGATCAAAATAAAGCTCTTTAAGTGTCACCGAAGAGAAAGTTTTACATTAATGGTGTCAATAATTCAGATGAAGTTTAAGACTTCTGAAAGAAAGTGATACAAAAAATTGGAACAATATTGTTTATTAGATGCAAGGAAGATACTGTTGCATCCGTATCCAGAAAGGCTAAATCTGAGACCCATCAAAGTAATTTTTTGATTTCTCATTACTACAGGCCAAAGAGTTAATTACCCGTATTTGGAAAAAGGTGGACCCCCCCACAGCCGGTGTTGGGATTAATCTTATGGCACTATGTATGGGAATGGAGAAAATAACATACATAAACTAGATGTTTATGAAGACATTTGAATTTCTTTTATGGTTTTTCATAAACAGATCTGATTTTTGGCATAACTGGGGTGGGGGGTAAATTAATGTTTTTAAAAACTTGAGTTTTTAGTAAGTTTGCTCTTACTAAATCTACAGTCCTATGAGGCCATTCTGGAAGGCTAGGTAAAAAAAACAGGAATGGAGGTTAAACGTCTGATAAGCAAGTCCTGCAAGTTATTCACTACATATGTCTTATACTGCATGTGCATGTTCTTGTCAGTGATAGTTTGCCCTTACATTTGCTTTGTTGAACTTTTATAATAAGCCATGACATGGGTAGCTTGTTGCATATTTGGTACGGCTCATTGCTTAAACACAGCAGCAGCCTAATAAGTGTTGGTTTATCACAAAACTCGAAGCTTGAAAAACATGCTACCAACAGAACATGTATGAGGTGTCTTTAAATTATCCCCCTGGTGCTTTTTTTGTAATATTTAGCAAGAGCAAATAAACTTTATGTAAAAAAAATGCCAGCATCACACAATTCAGAACTGCTTCATGTCCATGTCAAGCTGTGGCTTAGTTTGCCTTTGATCTGCTGTTCTCTCATAAATCAGAAGCTCCTTCATGCATAAATAAATAAATCAGAGCACTATTTGAACCCTTCTCTTTTTTCTTTGGCCTATGATAGTAAACTTCAACATCTGTGGCTAATTATAAAAGTGATGCCCGTTAACATAGAGTTGCAAAGTAGAACCAGTTTTGTTGCAACCCTCTTTGGTAAGAATTGAACTGATGTTGGAGGTCTTAAATGAACTAAAGGATTCAGTTTATCCAAAGGTGATAACAGCACCTTGCAAAACGATTAACTTCATCCGCATTTTGTCAATTTAGGGCTGCAACTAATGATTATTTTGCTAATCAATTTATCAGTCTATCAGTCGATTGATTAATCGACTAATAATCGGATAGTAAAAGGTTCCTTAAAGAAGATTTTCTATGACATTAAACCAGGTGAAACTGTGGAGTTCTGGGCAGAGCATATACATTGTTTTACAATTTTGATTTAATTACTGCTCTAAGTGAGTCGCTTTGTTAGCTAAAGGCATGTTTTACAATTTCTATACTCCATTTAACAATTAATCAGTTCCTAAATTAGATGAAGATTATTTCAATGATCAATTAATCACGATTAATCCAATTGTTTCAGCACTAATCACATTACACCATAAACCATTAAGTGTTTACTCACAATTTTTCATTCATCCTCCGCTGTGGCAAACTCTCGTCTGAAGTTACAATAAACAGTTTGTTCAAATGTCATGGAGCTTCAGGTGCTCTGATGCCCACAACAGGTTTAACAACATAAGTAGCATAGCAGCATCATAAAAAAACAGAGGAAGAAGCCAAAATGGACATGGGAGAAAGTTGTGAAGGACTTGGAGGAGCTAAGGAGAAGCACAGCTCAGGTTGGTAGGGTCTCCTAACTTTATAAGTATTAGTTGTGCACTCCAAATGTTTTATGTATTTATGGAAGACTTGCAAAAACAAATCCATGGTTGAAATAACTGGTCATTTCTAAAAGTTTGTCACAAGCCATGTCTATGAAGGAGACATAGAAAACATAAAGAAAAAGTGATCTGATCAAAACCAGCTGTGGAAAAAACAATCTATTTTCTACGCACTGTTGTTGAAATAAAATATTCAGCCAGTTGATTCATCTTCCTGGAGGCCAGTTTCCATCACAAGTTAGAATGTTCCGACTCACAGAGCCACCACATTTTCTCCAATACTTATAAGGACAACAGAGTGAGAGAAGTATCTATGAGACGATGGCGGGGAACTTTCCTCCTGTAAATTATCTAATGAGAACAGACCGTAATACCTTCCCTCCTCAGACACATACAGGGCTTTAGGCTCTGCACATGACTTAGCAGCAGATGTCGTCCCACTCAGAGTCTACAGGCACAATGATGCAAACCATTACTTGAAGTAACCAGATTAACCAAAACAAAATCCGACCTAATATAAGATTTAAGCAATTAATATTTTTCATGATGTTAGACTATAGCATATTAATCCGTTAGATTACAGGCAAAGAATTTTATAAACCATATTTATAAATATTTATAACCAGATTTTTTCATTCAGTTCAAAATGATGCCCTGTGTTAGTCTGTCACATACCTTAACAAATACATACAATAATAATAAAAGCCATTAAAGTAAACAAGAAGTAATAAAAATGACAGATTTTGGTGATTAAAAAGTAAAAACGTTGATGTTGGGTAAATATTTCTGCAAGGTACTTCATGATACTGTTTCAGAGATTAAATAAATTTAAGTAATTTCCCTCTAGGATTATTAAAGTATTTCTGATTCTGAAATACATAAAACAAGTTAATTTATGGCTGCTGTATTGTGCTCATATGATTTTTTTGGATATAAGGATATTTTCTTGGGAAACAAGAAGATCATACTGTACCTCACTTGAGGTATTGACTTCAGATATTGGAACCTTATAACTTATTCTGTCCATCTGTCTTTTGAGAAACATCGACTCAAAAATTATCAGGTTATGTTTGAAAAGAGTTACAGGTATTCATAGAAAAATCGCGAAAAAAAAAAAAGAGAAGGCAGGAAATATAAAAGACTCAATCTCTTTATGCAACCAGGATTTGGCTTCATCTACCTACAAAGCATCAATATCCTAAAAATATTTTGTCCAGAACAAAGCCGTTCCCTGACCTAGTTGATTAGATTCGATTTTTGATTTGGCTGTTATCCTATACTCTTCCACACGCAGAACTCACATTAACATACAATCAGACTATCTGATGAGATTATCGCTCGCTCAACCAGATTAGGTGCCTCAGAGCAGAGTATTATCCTGACAGTCTCACTGTGACCTAATCACATCAGCTTATTTGTGTGTTTCTGCCAGTCTGTAGACACGCAGCGGGCGCCGGCGTATGTGCTACACATTACAATCCTTGTAATATAAGTCTTTGTGAGCGGTCAGTGGCCTGTGGAAAGCTTGGATGGGGATCAATGGCTTGAGTGTGTGTGCTTGTGGTGGTGGGGGTGTTAGTATTATTACATGGCCTACTGCACTTGAGACTGAGAAACAGACACAAGCCGTGTACACCATAGGTCACTGCCAAGGATACAGACGAGAGGCTGTATGTTTATATAATGTCTCTAAAGATGAACGTGTGAGTGTGAGACTGAAGGAACCTGCTGCACTGGAATAAAGTTCTGTATCCAGAGCTTGACTCTTGTCTCTTTCTTGGAATGAAGGTACATGTTTGAAATCTTTTCAGAAAAAGAAAATACAGAACCGTCCAGATGTATTGTTATTCCAGATAACTATGTCTTGCAAGAAGCCCTGGAATTTCTTTATTGTTCAAGCTCTGTCAGGGTCATTTATATTGACTTTAAGAAAATAAGCAACACAAAGTAATGCTTAATCCCGACAATAAAAAACAGATTTGGGCAGGAAGGTTTTCAACTGAATACATTGTTTTAAAGTTGGAATGGTTTTGAATTCATCCTCCCTGAATCATTGCAGATCTAAAGCACAGTTATTCTAACCTTCACTGCAAAATAGTTTCACATCAGATGGATGGATAACATCAATTCATATTTCGACACAGATTATCAATAGGATTCAAATCTAGACTTTAACTGGCACCTTCTACATACATTTAATTATTTAATTTCAGCTCTATTGTGCCTATAATCCAGTCTGTATACCTTTGTCACCTCTATTGGATTTTCATCCATTGATGTCCCTGTTAAGGAAAAGCATCCCCTCACCTTCATCCACATATTTCCCGGCTGGGACTTTGTTGTATCTGGCTCAGAACGGGTTTTTAACTAGAACCAACATTCGCAGTGGGAATTTTGTAATCAGGTCACAGTAAAGCTGTCTGGATAATACTCAAATTGTATTGCTTAAATTAATATAAACTAGGATTTTAAAGGAATAGTACACCCAAAACATGATTAGCCTTCATTTTCTACTCACCTCCATGCTGAACAACACTCTGGAGTACTTTTTTGATATCTCAAATGCATCTGGAGATCTGGGAGGCTTCTTGCTGTCTGCTGACATTCAAATAATGGAGGTCCATGGCGCCCGAGACAGAAAGGTCCATAAAAGTCCACAAAAACGTGTCAATATTCCTCCATACTGCTCGTCCAATGTAATCCAAGTGTCCTGAGTGGGTAGCATCCAGAATTTACTCGAAACGAAGTCATTTAGAATGTTTTTAGAGCATAAACAGTAGTGTATAGGATTTCCTAATAGCGCCCCCATGCGCGCTCACGATTCTACGGAAGCCGGCAGACCAAACCGGAAGAAAGTGCGCATTCAGCGTCTGGTCTGCCGATAATGCAAGCGTAGAAGAAGAAATGTGCTGTTTACCTGTGCAAAGAAAGAAACAACGAAAGAAAAATGTCTGAGGACTTCAGTGTTGAGGAAGAGCATGAGTTCTTTGCCGAGCTGAATGCGCTGGTTTGGTCTGCCGGCTTCCGTAGAATCGTGAGCGCGCATGGGGGCGCTATTAGGAAATCCTATACACTACTGTTTATGCTCTAAAAACATTCTAAATGACTTCGTTTCGAGTAAATTCTGGATGCTACCCACTCAGGACACTTGGATTACATTGGACGAGCAGTATGGAGGAATATTGACACGTTTTTGTGGACTTTTATGGACCTTTCTGTCTCGGGCGCCATGGACCTCCATTATTTGAATGTCAGCAGACAGCAAGAAGCCTCCCAGATCTCCAGATGCATTTGAGATATCAAAAAAGTACTCCAGAGTGTTGTTCAGCATGGAGGTGAGTAGAAAATGAAGGCTAATCATGTTTTGGGTGTACTATTCCTTTAAGCTTTGATCGAATCTGACCAGAGTATTTTCTGCCTCATGATGGCATCTCCATAACTTCATCCTTTCAGGCTCAGAACAGAGGGATCCAGTATTCAAGACAGACAAACAGATTTCTAAAAACATTTTTTGAAAACTGAACCAAAGTAATGCAGGAACCTCTGGTTTTATAGTTCAGCCCGAACCCAGAGGGTGAGGTTTGGTCTAGCTAGTCAGCTGCCAACGCTGCTCGGCCGTTGCCACACAGGGAGTCCCAGACGCTGATGTATCAGTGGTCAGAGGACAGGCAGGAGATCAGAACCGAGCAAACAAATTTAGACAGGATAATCCAGATGCAAAACCAAAGCCGGTGTCTATGATGTGCTCAGTTGTCAGAGCCAGGAGGTAAGAGATACAAGGAGGTGCCGAAGGAGAATCCAGAACGGAATTGGATCACAGTTCCAGGTACAGTACACACACAGGCAGAGATCAAAGGTGGAGTAAGAAGACAGGTCAGACAAACAGATCAGATGGGAACAGGCTGGCTCTGATGTCAAGAGGCACACCGGGTCAGGATCAGGTAATCAAAATACAGGAACACTAGAATAATTCTCACCAACGGCTCGAAAATAATCTGGCACTGACGACTGGTTTGAAGGCTGGTTGAGTAGAGACTAGTACCGGTACAGGTGGATCAGATAAGCAGATAATGAGAACTAGGCGGAGCTAAGCAGGTGTGTGACATGAGTAATCCGACTAGGCATCAGTGCCAAGATCATGACACATCCCTGACATGTGTGCTGTTGACCTTGCTCTTCCTAAGGTTGCTAACTCATTAATGTTCTTAAACAAACCTCCATGCGCTACACAGAACAGCTCGACTTAAACACATTTATTGTTCACTCAATGATATGTGGCAGCCCCACTCCATGACGCTCTCCCCACCATGCTTGACTGCAACAAGACTCACTGGTCTCCTAACTTCTTACTAGCTTGACCAAATAATTTTGGTCACCAGGCCTCAAGACATGTTTCCAGTGATACAGGTCTATGCTTGTCCATTTAATTGGTAGCGCTCTTCCCTGTGCTATTTTGGTCAACAAATCTGGTCACCAAATCTCCATTGAAGAAAAGATTCTACTTATCAAACTGGAAATAAGTTGGACATTAGAGTCACATTGGTCAGAAATGATTTCACAATCTTGTATTTTGTTGGGGTGTTTTTATTCTTCATTTCTTAAGGACACAAACATATAGTTTCATACCAAATTACTTTTTTCATCTCAATTTATCTACTTTTTCTCTAGGCTACCAGATATCCTACCGCCTTCACAGCCGGGACTCTCTGCGATGGTCCGTAGTGGAAGTGGGGTCTAATGCTCGCCAGTTCACCGTCACAGGGCTCTCTTCTGAGCACACCTACGTGTTTCGCCTCATCGCCCGCACCGCTGTGGGCTGGGGCCAACAGCAGGAGGCCTTGGTAGTTACTACTGAACGCAGAGGTAAGCAGCGCTTACTGTTACTTAAAGCAGGGTCCATGTCAACACTGATTGATTTACTAAAGTTATGTGTCTCTGTTCTGAAATGTGTGTCAAATACTCTGATCAGAGCAGCAAAAAGTAAAATTAGTAATATCAGAAATAAAACCTGAGTTCCCTCCATGACAAAATATTACACTAATCCTACAAGCGGTTCATTTAAAATGTACCTTCTGGATAGATGTAAAGAATCCTCTGAAAGTTTCCAAGTCCTAGTTGTGTTTGTAAGGGAGGATCAGCAAGAGATAGTGGGGCAACAAAATGTGAGCTGTACCACAGGAGAAGAGGAATACAAGCTCTGCAGCTGAGCTTGGTCTCAAGGTACTTTATAATGACAGCGCCGTTCTAGATGCACTATCTGTACGTGCCAAGTCCAGAGTCTGACACACAGGCTCACTGATGGAGCTCTGAACTGAAACAGGATTATAATGAATACTATTAGCTGTGCCTGTGCTTTTATTTCTGCACCGAGTCAAAATATCTGCCGTTTGAAAAAACAAAACAAAAAAGACCCACAGGGATATTTTCTTCTGCAATGTTTGTAGTGAACAGTATGTGGTTGATGGTTTGCTGATGGTGTTACTTGTGAGTTTTTTTTTTTTTTTTTTTTGCAAGATTGGGGAGAAAACAACTTTTCAGTTATCTCTGTAGATTAAACTTCTCCAGCAACGTGTGTTCTGTGTGGAGGTATTGGCATGTTTTTGTTACCTTGTGGGGACAATTCCACAGAAACGTGTTACAAACATACTTCGGTGACAAATGACCAGCTCCCATTTGGAGAAGTTCTCTCCCTGGGGTGGGGGTTAGGTTTCAGGACTAAGGAGTGAAGAGTTAGGTTTATCCTAACCTAAGGAGTTAAGTTAGGTTTAGGGTTGGGAATGTGTTGGTAATGTTTAGTGTGTTAGGCCATTGAAATTAATTGAAGTCAGTGGAGAGTCTCCACATGGATAGTGTGACAACATTTGTTTGTGTAAAGTCACTGATGGAAGAGAGTAACGTTTCGTATACGATCAATAGCGGTGATTGTATTCTAAGTGATGACCAAAAGACCCAAATCACAATAATAGGCATTTATTTTCTTCTCCAAAACCCAAATTTAGTATTATTATTATCAGTAGCACAGTTTTTAATACCGCTTAAAGAAAATGTTTGAGAGAGAGTTAAATAGGTAACATGTTGTAAGAAAAGGCTCATTTTTAGAGAAAAAAGAAAACCAGTTTGGCAAATTTGTTAGGTAGCAACTGGTTGGTTGACTTGAGTTATTATTCTCTATTAAATGGTTTTATGCAATCCCTTCGATTTGTTAAAAAAAAGCAAACAACAAACATAATTTAGAGTTTCATGTTTGTAGATTGGTAGTTACTAAAGGAAGGGACTATGTAACTATGGCCTCGAATTGTACAATTTGAATACATTTCCTGCACCTTATCCACATATCAAAGGTGCACCATCAGCCGGTTTTCCATTTCTTGCCAACAGACTGATCCCACTTGTTGGGATTCCAGAGAAAATACTACTGAGAGTACCTGCTGAGAAGACAGAAACCCAAAAACGGTCCATCTGGGACCAAACACCTGAGTGAATACTGACTAAACAGAAAACATTACAAGATTTTAAAGCAAAAGTAATTATATATAAACCATTGATTATTATCCAGGATTATTGCTCTCTACTCACTTAAATAAAAAAAGTGCACAAAGGAATCCTTTGCATTACAATAATTTAAGTGTCTAAAAAGTACTATGAGCGGTACAGAGCCACAGTAGGCAGCACTGTGCATTGTAACAAGTAGGTCTTAGGTTCAAATCACAGTTTCCCTTGAAGTACTCTGGCTTACCCCCATAATCCACTAATGTAGATTAATATGTCTCATGAAATTGCTCTAAGTATACTGTCCAAGCTTTACTGCCCCCTCATCCAGCAAAAACAAGCAGATATGGAGAGTACCATGAATTTTCTACCTTACATAGAGCTTTGTATCTAATATCATACACATCCTAGAGGAGAATTTTTAAAAACTGAATTGAGATGAAATGACATTTATAGACTCCTGTGGACATAACAGTGAATATTAAACCCACCAGATACCAAACCTCCTGTAGAGCAACAGTAAGAGTCAGAAATTCGAAATAATAACCTGAGGACTCTGAACAACTGCAGTTTAATTGCTCTCTTGCTTAGGGGGGATCATTTGCCTTTCTTGTCAACAGTCTTGCTGCTTCCCTTACTTTCTTATTTTTCAAGAATCAAAGTGGAAAAAAAAGATCTGCAAATCATATCTATACATTATCCGCCTTATTTTGTCAATCTCAGTAATTATTTCTGATCAACACTTCTGTCATTATTTTGCAATTATGGCAATTATGTTTTGAGGCAAAAAACATGCAGTTAATTCCCAGTAAAATTTCATTTAATCCTGGCACTCGGTGGTCTCATGGCAAAGTGTAAACAAGAACAGTGAGGGGATTTCTGAAAAACGTCAAAAACAGAGGATGACAGGCTGGTCCTGTGGTGAGATATACGATGTTTATCTCTGACTGTTATTCTCCTACTGATTAGTCTCTAAAAACTTAAAACTGAAAATATTATCCCTCTACCAAAACAATGACCGCTGACAGTCTGAAAGACAAAAGCGATTCTTGCTGTGACTAACAAGTTAAAGTAAAGGGTCTAAAAGCAGCAGTTTGTTTTGATTCCCAAGTTGCAAGGCTTTTATGAAGGTATCTACAGGAATCCTTCGTAATCTTTAACCTAAAAAATTGCTTTAATTTTTTCTAGGACTGGATAACAATGGAAAAAAAACAACTGAGTTTGGCCTGTTTTTGTTGATTTTTTCCCCCCTAAAAGGCAAATATCTACTTATGCCTAACAGATGCAAAGGAGTTTACAGTCATCTTTAATTTGCTTCCTCTCAGCTTTATTTTCACATTTTAAAAATTGGTATATTGACTTTATAATTACAGACTGAATGCACAGTTATTAAAAAAGAGCTGCATACTTTTTTTCTAGACTTTCAGCTGGGCCTTTCTTTGTCAAACTGGGTCTGGTTACATCATAAAGCAAAAGAGGAAAACATTTTTTTTTTTCAATGAAATCAATATTAAAAAAACTTTTCTTTAAATAATGAGTTTGGTTCAGAATGTTTTCATCCTTATGAATCCCAGAGTAATATATTCTGGATTAGAGCCGTGTTTTTTTTTTAGATCAGGCTTAAGAAAAACTGTTAAACATAACCTTGATGGTTAGATGGTAAGACAGATGGGTTTTTTTTTTTACAGAACATTTTGTGAATTGAAATTAGTAAAAAAAAATATTCCCCTACTCTGATCAGGCATTTCATTGACAGTTGAAGGTAACTTTACTAATTCATCATGGCACCTGTTTGTGATTGAAGTTAATGTGGCACCAAGGGAGTAGGCTACTTTTGTCAAAGAATTGCTGTGTTAGAAGTAGGAACAGACGATAAGGATTTGAGTTTCTAAATGATCAAATTATGATGGTTAAATGACACAGTTAAGGCATTTTATAGATACTCTGACTCAGTCATTTAAGCAGGGTTGCATCTATCAAAATTAGTCGAGAACCAGCGAAACGGTCATGGTCGACAGAGGTGAATGCACCTTGGGCCTTAAGGCTGTCCTCGGAAGCACTACACAATAGATCAGCTACTATAGATATACTTTCTAATAGAAAGTTCTTACCAAATACACAGTGGCATAAGACTGCCACAGCACACTTATTTCACAGGATAGGCATGATGGCAAAGGACTGATTGTTTGACTTTATTTTAAATCCATAGGATCATGAATGAAGTTCTCAGTTAACCATGGTATTAATATAATGTGCAAAGTCATCTTTAGGACAGCAGTGTGTGGGTCACACAACAGAACCGTGATCCCAAAGACAGCAGCCGTTTTCCTACAAAATTTAATTTATTATGAGTCTTTACTTGACCATAGGTAATATATGGATATTTATGAATATTCAGCTTTTTTCAGAGTGCTTCCTCAATGCCAGCAAATACTCCTAAAGCTTATTTCAGTGTCTTAATCAGCATCTGTGTTGCGTGACGCCCTTCTTAAGCAGTAGATGCTGGAGTAGAAAAATTTGATGCACCACAACAACCAATCATAGAAGCTGATCCGGGAGCTAGCAGAGAGATGGACACACACTTGCTGTTTCATAGCATCAGTAGATTACTGTCATTTAAGGGAAAAATTGGCAAATCACATTGCATATTCAGTTTGAAGTCCATGATGTCTATAAATCATGTAATATAACATACTATACAAATCCATCACAAAAATATTATTGTATTAATGGAGCATAATAATACTGCATCACAAATAAGAATATTACACACTCACACAATATCTAATGATGTTACAAAAGTGCTAAATTGATGATGTATATGTAATATACATGTATCGATTACGTTGTTATGGTAATTACATTACATTACAGGCAATTGTATGCTGCGACTCCATGAGAGTGGGAAGTACCAAGATGGCGGGAGAGGACTTCAGTTTTTTCAACCTTTCAGCAATACAGTGAATAAATAGAGATCAGTGGCGGGGGTCTGCATGGCTCTGACAGCGAAATATTTTATGGCAGAATCGTAATCTTAATGAATTGACTGTCATGACGATGTTTTAAAGTGGACTTTCTTTCTTAAAAACAAATTAAAACTATTTTTTATTGACACAATTTTCCTTATCACAGCAAATATAGAAAATTAAAACCACTCTGTCATTGAGCACAAGAGCAGTGCAAGCATCAGATGCATCCGCACACAATTTACTTTAATTGAATTTTTACATAAAGAGAAAATATATGAAAGAACTTAGAATGCAAGTGGTGCAAATTGTACTTTGTGTTATGTGTAGCTGTCTTCCAACAGACAAAGATCTAGATACAGTTAATCTCTGAACTCACCAGTTCTGTCAGCTAAGGCTGGGCATACA